GAAGGTGAGGGCCTGGAAGGCCAGAGCCACCTGGGTGGTGCTGGTGTGGAACAAAGTGCTGCTCTGGGGTCCAGGTTAGAATCAAGGCGAGGGCTGCCAGCTGTCTGTCACTGCACAACCTGACCCCACATCCTAGTTGGTGTGGGTTTGTAAGTGTATTACACCAGTGTGCCAGTAGATGGCAGTAACGTGTCTCCAGGACTGGATGCCCTATGGCCTATCCCTGGAAGACGTGATGCATTTACCCAGTCAGCAAACATTTGTTAAACATGTGCCCTGGGCCCGGGCCCTTTGTGCCGGATGCTGAGTTCGATGAGCGTGGAGACACGGTTTCGGGTTTCCAGGCTCTCACAGACTAGGTGTATGGGGGCAGGGGACAGGCAAGCAATGGGTAGTTGCAACACAGGGAGATCCCTACTCTAGTGGTTAAGGACAGCACACTGTGGGAGCCTAGAAGGGTGACACCTAAACCAGCCTCGTTAGGGGGGTGCTTTCAGGGAAAACTTGATGGAGTGAGAAAGAGGCAGCCATGCAGAGAAGAGAAGGAGGCCATCCTGAGCAGAGAGAACACACGTGCGGAGGCTCAGAGGCATAAAAGCATAGGACGTGTTTAAGGAATCGCAGAAAGTCGAGTATCCGTGTGGTGGGCGGAAAAAGGAAGAGAAACGGGCCATAGGTCAACAGGATCCAGCTCATGAAGGACCCACAGGGTCTGGACTGAATCCCCCAAATTAAGGTCTGGATCCCCAAGATCTTTTAAAGCATAAGGGGCAATTCACTGTTGCCCCTTAGAGGTTTTGTGGGACTGAGTAGGGACTTCTCCGTCTGGAACTTTTGGGGACTGCTCCCTGCCCGACACCTCTCAGGGGTGACATTAGGGTCACGTCGGAGGAGGGATGTGAAAGGCTTGAGGCTTTAGTTATCGATGCCACTTATCTACTATCATTATCATCATCCATCCCTTCTTGCATCGATGGGACAGATCAGAGCGAGGTGAATACTGATTCTGTCTTGTAACCTAAGGCTGTGTTTTGTTTATTTGTGGGTCCCTGCCACATGACACCCCCAGGCACAGAGTAAACACTCAGTAGTTCTCTGTTGTTGGTGTTTGTTTTTTTTAAATATCTGTTTTTATTGATTTTTAGAGAGAGGGGAAGGGAGGGGGAGAGAGAGATAGAAACATCGATGAGAACATCAATCGTCTGCCTTCTGCACGCCCCCCAGTGGGGATCAAGCCCGCAACCCGGGCATGTGCCCTGACTGGGAATCAAACCAGTGACCTCCTGGTTCCTGGGTCTACATTCAACCACTGAGCCACACCAGCTGGGCTCTGTTGTTTTTGTCGATTCTGTTTTGGGCCCTGGGCTGTAGACTTTGGAGCTTACTATGTGCCAGGAGCTGTTCTAAGTGCTTTATAAGTCTTGTCTTGTTTAATCCTCACAGCAAGCCTGGGTAATAGCTACTACGAGTATCCCCATGTCCCAGAAGTGGAAGCTGGCGCACATGGGGGTTGAGGAGTAACCCACGGTCACGGAGCAAGGGAATGATTGAGCTGGGATTGCCTCCAGGGGGTCCAGCCTGGAGCCCGGGACACTCTACCTTGTTACAGAAAAGACCAAGTGACTTTGTCACCACAGCCTTGACTGGTAGATGGAATCTACCGTGACAAACAAGGAAACTAGGACCTAGTTGGGTTAAGTCCGTGGTGAGTGAATAGCAGAGCTGAGCTTTTGCTGAAGTCTGTGATTCCAAATCCATGCTCTCTTCAGTATTCCAGTGATTGCATTCATTAGTAACTACCCCCAGGTCCCAGGCTTGCCCAATGCTCCTACCCAATCTAGAGGAACCCTTGATCTAAGTCAGTGATGGCGAACCTTTTGAGCTCGGCGTGCCAGCATTTTGAAAAACCCTAACTTAACTCTGGTGCCGTGTCACGTATAGAAATTTTTTGATATTTGCAACCATAGTAAAACAAAGATTTATATTTTTGATATTTATTTTATATATTTAAATGCCATTTAACAAAGAAAAATCAACCAAAAAAATGAGTTCGCGTGTCACCTCTGACACGCGTGTCATAGGTTCACCATCACTGGGGCCTGGGTGGGCCACTTCTCTGGTCCATCCTCCCAAGGCATGGCCGAGGGACAGCTGTGGATGGGGGTGTGGGTGAGGGGATAAAGCTTGATCGTTTGGGCCGCCCACAAGCCCGCACAAGCAGCCCCATCACCCGCAGCACAGAATTCTGAGAAGTTTAAATTCTGACTCTTCCAGGAAATGATGCAACCGTATTTGTTATGGAAGGAAGACCAGATCAACGTGTTTTGTTTAAATGTTTGCCAGCTTTAGATATCAATTTTATATACTTAATGGAGGTCTCATAGGCCTCCATTGGTTCTTTTGCCCCGGGCCCCACAAAACATGAGAGATGGGCTTATCCCAGTGCTGGAGTTTGCCGACACTGTCTTCAAGAATTCGTGCTAAAATCCACAAATTAGGGGAAAAGGTTCCCTTTGCACGAGGCTGGCTTTACACACGTTTTGTCTAAGACCATCCTGGGAGAGAGAAAAACAAAATGTTGCTTTCAAGTATCACTGACAGCTCCTGTCCCACTAAACTCCTGCCTCGGTGACATCAGAACCTGTGAACATGGTAAGGAAAAGTGAGGCTAATAGCAGTGCTGTCCGTTAGAGACGCGGGCCGTGTTGGAAAGCGATGAACTCCGCAGCATCGGCGAAGTGTGGGTGGACTTTGGAGGCAGACAGACTGAAGTTTGGTAAGAAGCATGATGTCTGTGTCGAAAGCATTCTTTTCCTCCGCAAATGAAAGGATGAGAAAAATAGGTGGCAGCACTGATGTTCCAGGAGAAAGAATGGGAGAAGAAACTAAGAAGATTCTTGAATGTAATCATTGCAAATGATTGATTGGAACTCAATCTTGTGGCCATACCTAGCTGAATGGAGAGTTGGGATATACATTTTTGTGTGTGTGTGCCAATCTATAAACTCTCTCACTGTGTAAAAGAAGAAAATGGGTTGGGATCGAAGAGCTGTCTCTGCCCCAGAAAAGGTTTATGGAAATGCTTAACACGGTGAGACTGCAGCAAGTGACTAAGAACTACTCCTTTCGTCACCAATTAAAAAGAGCAAATGGGCCCTAGCCAGTTGGCTCAGTGGATAGAGCATCAGTCCATGGACAGAAGAGTCCCAGGTTCAATTGCAGTCAAGGACATGGACCTCGCCCTAGCTGGTTTGGCTCAGTGGATGGAGCATTAGCCTGTGGACTGAAGGGTCCCAGGTTTGATTCTGGTCAAGGGCACGTGCCTGGGTTGCGGGCTCAATCCTCAGTGTGGGGCATGCAGGAGGGAGCCGATCAAAGATTCTCTCTCAACATTGATGTGTCTATCTCCCTCCCCCTCTCCCTTTCTCTTTGAACTCAATAATCTATATAAAAGGACATGTACCTTGTTTGCAGGCTTGATCCCTCACCCTGGTCAGGGCATGTGAGGGAGGCAACTAGTGGATGTATCTCTTTCATATCGATGTTTTTCTTTCTCCGTCTCTTCCACTCTCTCTAAAAATCAATGGAAAAATATCCTGAGGTGAGGATTAACAACAACAACAACAAAAAGAGCAAATGGAAACTTTTGTTACTTTTGTTTTGTGGAAAGACATTTAAACCCAGGAGCACCCCAACATTGACTGCTATTTTTCAGGGTCAAGAAAAAACATAGGTGTAGAATTAGAAGGCCAGCACTCAAGCTACGTAGGCACAGTATTTCATCTCTCTGGGTTTCGGTGTCCTTGTCTATAGGAAGTAATAAATCCCTACCTCGTGGTGGTGGTTGTAAGCGTTAATGAGAAAGACAACAGGTTACAGCCTGTCGCAGAGAAACCAAGTGTTGTTGTTTTTTTTAAATCTATCTCTTCAATTATTTACTCATTCAACAAATAGTAATGGAGCTCCTACTGTGTGTGAAGCAGTCTGGTAGGTGATGGGAATGGAATGACAAATAAGGTAGCTTGTTCCTGACCTCGAAGAGAACTGCCTTATCGTGCGGAGGGGCACAGGTATTAAACACGGTTACTAATTACACTTGTATTGCACGTTATGAAAGAAAAGCAGAGGATGACAAGAGAATCCATATGAGAAGAGAGGTGAAGGAGGCCAAAATTAGGGGGTTTTTAGAGAAAAGTGGGCAAGTGGGTAGATTGAGAGATAATTAGAATATAGAATCAGTGGGGATAGGGAAAGAGAAAGAGGTAAGAAGAATGATGTCTGTGTTTCTGCCTTGAGTAATGAGTAGATGGGATGCCGTTTACTGGTAATGGGAAGATAGAAGCAGGGGTGAGGAGGCGAATATGATGGAAGGATGGATGGATGATGGGCCTATGGATGATGGGTGGATATTTCTGCCTTGAGTAATAAGTAGGTGGGGTGCCATTTACTGGTAATGGGAAGATGGAAGCAGGGGTGTGGAGGTGAATATGATGGAAGGATGGATGGATGGATGGATGATGGGCCTATGGATGATGGGTGGATGGATAAATGGAGGGATGGACAAAGGAGCAGATAAGGTCCACTTCACTGGACACATGGACAAATTGAGAAATAAGTAAATGGTTAGATCAATTTAATAAGCCCTTTATGAAATATAAGTTATAATTCAATAAAAAAATTCTGCACTATTTGTTTATGTAGGATTCTTAATAACCCTTAGAAGTATAGCATGCAGGTATTCATTTCTTCTTTTAGAGAGGATAAAACAGACTCAGGAAGGCAGAACGAGAACCTGAGTCTCTAGCTCTCCCATCAGTACTCTTCCCTGTCTCTCGCATAATACCTATAAATACTGAGGAAATCAGAGGTCATATCAGAACACATTGGTAGAGAATATGCCCTGGATACCCACCTCTGGGGGCAATAAGGCCTTTGGGAGAAGGGAGAAAGGGCAAAGCGGTCTGCATCCTTACTCAGAAATGCCTTCCTTTCCTTCACAGGGCCAAGTATTTCCAAGGAAAGAAGGTGAATGGAGAGATTGAGATCCGAGTGGAGCAGGTAGGTTGGAGCGGAGTCTTTATCGCTGTCATGCTGACCTTTTCTATAGCTGGAGCCATTCCCAGGAGCAACTGTAGACCCCAAGCTTATATGGCTATAATGAACCAAGATTACCAGAAAAATCCTGGCTTATACCTGGGAGTCTCATTAAATTGCAGAATTATTTAGTCCAGTGGTTTTCAACCTTCTTGTTTTAGCAGTCGAACCTTCCCGATTCTAAGGATATCTTAAGTAGGAGCCCATTCTACAAAATAGAGACAAGTAGAGCTTCTCTGAGAGAAATAGGCGTGGGGAGCCCAAAGGCCCATCCGCTCCATTATTCCACTTCCCCACACCCCTGCCATGGTCTCTGAAGCATGGAACTACTTGGGCTGGGAGCACTGTGGTTTTGAATCCTGGCTCCCTCATTTTCTGGGTATTGGGCATGTGACTTAATGTCTTTGTATCATTTTCTTGTGTGTGTGTGTGTGTGTGTGTGTGTGTGCGTGACTTAATGTCTTTGTATCATTTTCTTGTGTGTGTATATATATATATATTTTTGTATCATTGTTGGGATTAAATTACTTAAAGCCTCAGAGGAGATTAGAATCATGAATACTGGCTCTTAGAATTAGCAAGAATATCAACATTCAATTCCCTCATTTCATGGGGAAAGAAACACAGACTTGCTCAAGACTACATAGGGCAGGGGTCCTCAAACTACGGCCCGCGGGCCACATGCAAATACAAATATTGTATTTGTTCCCGTTTTGTTTTTTTACTTCAAAATAAGATATGTGCAGTGTGCATAGGAATTTGTTCATAGTTTTTTTAAAAACTATAGTCCGGCCCTCCAACGGTCTAAGGGACAGTGAACTGGCCCCCTGTTTAAAAAGTTTGAGGACCCCTGACATAGGGAGTCAGTGGCCAACTTAGGACTCGAACCTAATTGTGCTTGCCTTTAGCATGTCAGAGCATGGGCTCTGGGGCCAGATTCTAGGTTCAAATCCCAACTGTGGCCTAAGCTGTCTGCTTCTCTGTGTCTTCATGTATACAATTGGGTAATGATACCATCAACGTATAGGGTGGTTGTGAGGATCAAATGAGTTAGTCCATGAAAAGTACTTAGAACAGTGCCTGGCACATACCAACACTTAGTAAATGTCACCCTTTTATCATCATCATCATCATCATCATCATCACCACCATTTGAAAAAAAGGCAACCAGTTAATAACATAGGAAAAGTCCCTGCTATGAGATCAACTCAGAAAAGTGCAATAAATAAAATAGAGGGATGTGACTTTTCCAGTACTCCGAGTTTGATGTGCTGGAGGAACCGAAAGCCTTTCTGAGCATCCAATTTGAGTTGGCTTAGTATTAAAACTCCGACAACTTGAATTTCAATTTGGTCCTGTGGCTTTCAAGTCCGTCCAATGTCCACTGGTTTTCCTTCCCTGGCAAAGAGCAGGTTATTTTCGTTCACTTAACAAATATTTGTCGAACGTCTACTGTGCTACTAGCTAACGTGGGGGGCGGCGAGGATATAGAAGCAGAGGTTCTGTCCCAAAAAGCTTGTGGTCTAGAAAAGGAGGCAAGGTAAGTCTTCCCAGGGCCTCCACACAGGTGGAGTCCAGGAAAGGGAGGTCCAGACTTGGCACTGTGGGCAGCAGAGGCCACACGAGCCGAGGGAGCCAGGAGTGGCTTTGAGGAGAGGGTGCTATTTGCAATGGATCTTGAAGGATGGATATGCTGTCAACAAGTGGTGGCAACATGAGGAGTGTATGAGATGGAAGCGAAGTGAGCAGAGTTAAGACCAGAAGTGCAGGGTGTGCAGTGGTGGGGAATCCCGTTTGGTTGACTCCAAAACGGGACACATGATGTTCTCCAACCCCAACCTACTCATCATCCCAAGTTTCCTCTCTCAGTGAAGGGGGCCACGGTCTACCTTCCACCTTAGTCAGAAACCTGTGGTCTCTGGATCCCTCCCTCTCCTTCTGCCATACGCCCATGCAATGACCAGATCCTGTTGACGCTGCAGCCCCTATCTCTCTAATCCGGTGATGGTGAACCTTTTGAGCTCGGCGTGTCAGCATTTTGAAAAACCCTAACTTAACTCTGGTGCCGTGTCACATACAGAAATTTTTTGATATTTGCAACCATAGTAAAACAAAGACTTATATTTTTGATATTTTATATATTTAAATGCCATTTAACAAAGAAAAATCAACCAAAAAAATGCGTTCGCGTGTCACCTCTGACACGCGTGTCATAGGTTCGCCATCACTGCTCTAGTCTGTTCCCTTCCCTCCATCCCCACTGCCTAGATTCTTGGCTGAACCATCATCAGCTCTCATCCAGTCTTCCTGTTCAGTGGCCTCCTAACGCCATCTTTTCACCCTCTTCCAATTGATATTTTGTACTAAAGCCAGAGGGATCTTTCTTAAAAAGCAAGTTAGATTCTTAGAAGGGTTAACATTAAAATCCCTTCCTCAAAGACTCCTCCTGTAAGCCCTCACACCCTGCTCTCCATCAGGTAACTTGGTTGTTCCCAGCATTTCCTTTCTGGCCCTTACCGGAGTGTTTAACCACCTGTGTAGATGTGGGATTCCTTGCATGAGGGTAGGGACCCTGGCTGTTTGGATCTCATTCTCAAGTAGCACAGGGCCTGGCACATGCTGGGACGGAAGCAGATATTCGCTGGCGGAACCACTTCTAGATTCCACAGATTCCAGGCTGTCCGTTTCCAAGAGAGACAAATCACTGCTCCTTAATCTCCCTTCAAAAATCGGAATTTTCCATCAACCATCTGTTACCTGCTCGGTTGCCAGCTTCGCTAGCCTTGTCTCATCCCATTTGTGAAAACCTCAGAGGCACGTTTTAATTTTATTCTTAGGTCAGTGCCTCCCCTGGCCCAGCTTATGGGCATGAAACCCGTGAGCAGGAACATCTGAGGGAATTGCCCTGAGAATAACTCCCCTTGGGGCTCTGGGGACACTCAGCCAGTGTAAGAGGGCTACGATCCCACTGGAAAACATTGGCTGACCCGAGTCCTCCTCGTTTCCAGCCATCCCCCTCCATGGAAGCCAGAAGGCAAATTAGCCAGGAGACCAATTAGCAGGTCATTTGAACATTTTTTTCCATGGAAAACATGCCGTCCTGAACCCCATCTTAGAGTCTGAATTGTCTGTCGTTTTCCCATCTGGACCAATGGGTGGGTCACATCAGCAACCCCCAGGAACCTCATATGCATCCTCTAGCGCTTGGGAGAAGACTTAGGATGGAAGCCACTGTTTAGTCTGAGCTGGCCTCCCCGCATTTTGGAAGTCTGTCTCCCAACTGAGGGCCAAATTAACCAGATAATTGCACCGTCTGAGTTTTGCTGGACAGAGTGAATGAGTTCGTTGTGGTTGGCCTGGAGGAAGCCTCCGCCCCTTCTCTCCACCCTTTCCCCCCAGTTCAGAAACTGCTTGCCTCAGCGCTTGCAGAGCCAGAAGTGAAGACACCCCAAGGAGGCCCGTGGGGCGGGGGGCGGGAGCTGCATCGTGTTGCATCCCATTACCCAGAATGCCCTGCTGGCTCTGCAGGGCCTCACAGCAGTGTCCTAGCAGGGCCTGAGAGCTTCTGCCCAGGGCACTTGGCATGTCAAGCTCTCCTCTGTTTATATTTGAGGCAAAGGGTCTTTTTCTCCACAGGTATACGTCACCCCTCAGTGGGACCAGTGATGGGGTTGATGAATGGATTAATATCAAGTGGACTCACAGTTCTGCGAGACTAGCAGACTAAGACTCATGAGACAGGCCTTGGGCTTCATTCTTCTCTAATAGGAAAGGCTGAAATTACATGGTCAGTCTTCCCTCAGTGTTAGTAGAGGTACCAAAGCGTAAGGAACGACAGTGCCTTCTTCCAGCCGATGGAGAGAAAGGCAAGAGAAGATGATTTGCTCACGGATGCCAGTGGCTCCCCTGAGTCCTGCCCTTGTGCGATACCAGGGTTGGGATGGGGCTAGATAGACGTGTGTGGGTCCCAGGGAAGGCTGTTGGTTGGAGTTCTGTTCATCTTTTGCCCTCAAACTACATATTTCCTCAACTTAAGTGTCTTCTGGAAGGGAAGGGGGGATTTTCTCCTGAAAAAAAAATTTTTTAACACTCAAGACCATCATATTTTTTCTTTCTCATACCCACTTGCCTTCCATCCACAATTCTTCCCGGGCAACCTTCCTCGGAATGGATCTTAGCCGTAGACATTGACCGTAAACACCATATGATATTTTAAGAAGTAATTGTCAGTGAGATAGAGAAATGGAGGTTGGATGTTAATCCAGTTTGGTGGAAGGGTAGCAGGTCAAGCATAACCCCCATTAGGAAATGACTACTTGAGAGAAATGTATCTAATGGCTTGTCAAAGAGCTCTGCCCTTGGCTTTGCTCTCCTCCTCCTCCTCAACAGTGACTTATCAAATTGCATTTGCCAATGACTTGAAGCTGAATAGGATTAAATCTGATACAATTAAACTGAGTGGGCATATGCTATAGGCTCCTATTCAAAAACTCAGCTGAAGAGGAGCAGGATTGGGAAGACTTAAAATCCCACGAAGAAAAGAATAGACCTAAGATTTGAGTTGAGTAAGTTCCTAAAGTCTGTGGGAGGAAGTATGGGGTGGAGGTTAAGATTGTGGCTCCAGAGTAAGATAACTAGAGATGGGATCTCAGCTCCCCCATATTTCAGCTGTGCTGACCTTCCACTTACAACATCTCTCAGCATCCAAGTGAGAGTAATAATTTCTGCCCCTAGAGTTACTGTGTAGATTCTGTGAGTCAGTGTACATATTATGCTTAGCATAGTCCCTGGCACATGTAGTAAGTGCTCAATGAACTATGGTTATGGTTGTTAGTACCCCCAAACCTGATGCTACTTCAGGTTGCATCATCAAAGGACAGTATTTAGAATACAGGGAGGTGATGGTACACACACACACACACTATGCTGGTCAGACTCTAGTGTCACCTACCTCAGTGTCACAC